TCATTTGGATGATCGACTTAGCAGAGAGCTTCCATATCCTCTCAAGGTCTGCATTTTTATCTAGTTAACATTTCTTTGGTGCCAGGGAGTGACATTTTCTTTGTTATAGAGATATATTTTAAAAAATGCACAGGGAGTTAATAGGAAATACTGTGTTCTCGCCAAGTGAAGGCCAAAAGACTTCATTGCAGGATGTACAAAGGAAGCCTCTGTGTAACTTACATAGGGACAAGTGGTGGAAGCATCCAGTTACTGCAATGCGTGCCGCCAACAGGCAGATCTCAGGAGAGTCTGCATGTGGGCAGGGAGAGCCATTTTCTCAGGGTGGAGGGGAGTGACTGTTCTGCCTTTGTTCCATTACACTAAAATTGTCATTTGAATTTTATGAGGTCCCTACATTTGTTGATCTGTAAGTTTCTTTAGGTTTTATGGTTGTAAGATATCTATATGCCTACATTCTTTATATCTAATCTTAAGGTTACATATAATTAATATATATTTAATAAAAATATAAGATAAATATTACAAAATATATAGACACATGAGCAGAGGCAGAGCAACAAAAATAAGGTTTTAATACACACAATCAGGAGAGAGAAGGGCCCATCAAAGTGAACAGGCAAGGCGAAGGGGGCACCTGTAAATAGCAGTGGGCCTCCTGCCAGTTCAAAGAATAGAGACCTGGCTGGGGACTCTCGTCAGCCAGATTAACGGTCAAGCCAGGGAGGGCACAGCTGATGATGACACATGCTGGCTCTTCTTCTGTCCACAGGGGAGTATCTCAAATACACTATGGTTCTGATTGGGTTCATCAGCCCCACGTCCTCCAACACACACACACACACATACACTCACACACACACACACTTTGAGGTTTGGGGCCTCTGGCTTGTATAAGGAGAGAGCAGCTTAAATTTAACTTCAAGGGACTGAGCCCCTTCCTCCAGCAGCAATGTCCATTCATGGGAACCATATGTGGAGGGAGACTTGCTTCTTATTTCTTCCCCATCATACCACCTGTGTGTACCAGGTGGGCCTTGGGTGCTCTTTCTGAATGGGGACCCTAATTGTGTTCAGTCACAGCAGTTATGGTGCGGTCCCCATAGCACCATCTGTTTTGGAGGAGGATGTTGCAGAGGTGCTGCTCCCTAAACTGGAGGTACCTGGAGGAACCCTGATGGGAAGGCTCAGAAAAACAGGGGCACTGGGGACAGAGGCTTTTCATTGTTGCCCATCAGGGCCCCCAAGTGTGGGCTGAGGGGTGGGGCTGGAGAATATGAATGTAGCCAGGCAGACGTAGGCTAATGTCTTTCCAGGGTGCCTCTACTGTGCACTGAATTTGGGGAATTAAGAGAGGGCT